AGACATGTAAATTGACATGTCGGACACGTGTCCGGAGTGTGTCCGAACATATCCACATTTGACACGGACACTTTGCCTAAAATGGAGTGTCTGTGCTTCCTAGGTGGTTATCAACTGTTTACACATACGTTCGACTAATCTTTGGGAACTAAAAAATTGCCTTGCAAGGTGTATTAGATTTGGTGGAGTCTCTTATACACTTGAATTTATTGAGAGCATTTATTGTCTGTTTTTTTTTTTAATTTTTATAAGAGCCTTCTGAAACCTTTTCATTCTTGATTTTGGTTAGATTCTGGTGGAGATCATAAACCATGACAATAATAATGCATTGGGTGGCTGCACAAGTTACGTTCAAGACAATGGAACAACAGACAAGGAAGCTACTTCTATTTCTTTAGAGTCTTCTAAGTCAAACTTAATCATTGCAGGAGGCGTGTCTAACAAGGGAGCGTCTAAAACAGAAGTAGTACAAAGCCAGAGTCTGACTTCTTCAATTAGAGAGTCGGATAATACATATGGGCAAAGTGGTGTTAGTACGAGGGGATCTTCTTGTGGTTTAACAGGGTTGTTAAATCTTGGTAATACTTGTTTCATGAATAGTGCGATTCAATGCCTTGTTCACACACCTGAGTTTGCCAGATATTTCCGCGAGGATTATCACCAGGAGATTAACAGGCAGAATCCTTTGGGCATGGTTGTAAGTTTTCATGTGCATTCCAGATTCGTGAAACCTAGAATTATGTTGTTAATGAACTTGTCTGGATTACAAGAGTTTTGTGCATGCAAGTTTTAATTTCACTTCTTAGTTGTGTGAATATTTTTTTTTACTCTTTTTTTCTTGGAGTCATGGCATCGAGTCCCTAATTCCTTCCTCTTTACTCAGCGCACATGCTATGAGTATAAGACAGAATACAAGACAGAATACGAAATTCCTGAAAGAATTAAATTTTAACTTATCTTGAAGAACAGAAGTTCCTCAAGAGCAATGGAAAACCAATTATGGTTTGTTGTTGAGAACACTTTTTTTTTGTTTTTTGTTTTTGTCAAGACATCAAAAAGAGCTTTCGTGCTTCATAGGTTATTTATTATTGTTGTATTGCCTTTTAGGTTGATCATGTCTCTTTGTCACTTGTGTAGTGTGTTCATTGAGTTGTATCTTAATTAGTTTGGACCTAAAGTCTCTGCCTTACTCTTCACCACCATGGAACATTTGGGATCATGAACCTTGCACCATCATGAGCGCTGTACTTGAATAGATGTTAGCAAATTTCTTATTCCAGCTTGCTAGTTATCCTTGTGTTGTTATTTGTTGTCGAATCTTTTTCTATATAGTCCATACCCTGTCATTATCTTTAGGGTTTCTGTTGGGAAATGGTTCAGTTGAACCCTAAAAAACTTTTGAGTGGTGTTCTAGCCACAAGAAATTATTTTGTAATTATAGCCTTCCTCATGATGGTTAATGATTAGAAGGCGTTGCTTGTGTAGCCCTTAGGTGGGGGTTCCCTCTACCCCAGCCCCTAGGTTGTCACCATTTTTGTCTATTAATACTCGGTTTCCCATTTCTCATTAAAAAAAAATGTTGAACGCCCTAAAGCAGGAAAAAAATCCTGACACCCTGTTTGTTTTATCTGTCTCAATTTTTCTAGAAAGTGGTGACAGGTGCCTTGATATTTCTGTTAAATTTTTGGTAATAAATAGTGCTAGGGATTCTAGTTCATGATTGGAAATAATTCCAGTGTACTTTTTGGTAAGGGAGTTTCCATGTTCTGATGCTTTTGCTTAATTGCATTAGAAATTATATCTTTGAAATTTATATACAGCCATTTTTAGTGATATTCATACGGATTCTTGCTAAGCTTTTTGTTATATTTATTCTACTAAATTAGAGTTGCCATAACACAGGGCGAGCTTGCTATGGCATTCGGTGACTTGCTTAGAAAGCTATGGGCTCCTGGACGAACATCTGTTGCCCCTCGTCCATTTAAAGCAAAGCTTGCTCGATTTGCACCCCAATTTAGTGGTTATAATCAGCATGATTCCCAGGTTTATTACTCACGTAATCTTACTGTTTTCACAAATCATTTTATTGGATCAAGAAACCAAGAAGTCTTTTTGCAGGAACTTTTAGCATTTTTGCTTGATGGTCTACATGAAGATCTGAATCGTGTAAAGCACAAACCCTATATTAAGTCTAGAGATGCAGATGGCAGACCCGATGAAGAAGTTGCAGATGAATATTGGGCGAATCACATTGCTCGTAATGACTCCATAATTGTCGACGTCTGCCAAGTGTGTAAAATTACCCATTTCCATTGCAAGTCTAATTACTTTTTGGTTATTATTTTTATAATATGTAATGTGTTAATTATATTATTATTATTTTTTTACAAGTCTCATTTTTAAACCATCATGGGATGACCTAGTGGTCAATAAGGGCCAATGTAAATAGCAAATAGCTTATAGGGAATGAGTTCAAATCATGGTGGCCACCTACCTAGGATTTAATATCCTACAAGTTATCTTGTCAACCAAATGTAGTAGGGTCAGGCGGTTAGCCCGTGATTAGTCGAGGTGCACCGGCCCGGACACACGGATATAAAAAAAAAAAAACTCATTTTCTAAGCATAAAAAATCCATAAGCTTATTGAATTTGAGTTTTCTTCCTGTGTAAAAATGATATATACTTTAAAAAATAGTATATTTTAATAAACGTGTCATTGCCGTGTCCGTGCTCTAGATTTTTTGGACACGACGTGTCACCGTATCTTGTTGTACCCGTGTCTTCTCACGTCCATATCCATGCTTTTTAGCATCAAAGGATTGGGACTCCAGTATGAACTTACCAAGATAAACAGTTCTCCATATCCATGCTTTTTAGCTTCAAAGGATTGGGACTCCAGTATGAACTTACCAAGATAAACAGTTCTCCAAAACACTTCTTGGTTGTTGCGTCACAAACTAGCCTTTTGTTGAGTCTCTAAGTGCGCTTGGTAGACCTACTTTTTTAATCAAGATTAAATCATCGTTAAAGAAAGAAGTGTTAAGGTATCTATAAAAGAATAATTTACCGTAATCCACCTTAAGCTTTTGGCTTGATTGGTGATTTGACATTGTATTAGAACATTCTTGTGTTCGAACTTGTATAACTTTATTTCCTCTCCATTTAATATTCATTACCACTTGTTTGGTTTGTATAAATTTCCAACTCACAAGTGAGACGGAGTGTTAAGGTATCCATAAAAGATTAGATTTAGCGTAACCCATCAGGGTAAGCTTTTGGATTAGATTGGTAATTTAGTAGAAAGTTTCACAACATTTTGGACTATATGACTGCGTTCTTTAGTTGTAGTTTGTAAATTTCGAATTCCTAATCTTTAGGCTCTGTCATCTTTTTTTTTTTTTGGGTTTTTTGGGTTAACAAAATACGAACTTTTCATTGATAGAGTGAAAAGAAAGATTAAAAAGAGTGAAATAGTGAAAGGAAAGCATTAAAATGCATAAACTGAAAGCCTAGAACAGAGTCTAAGTAAGCCAGTTAAACAGAACAAATAAAAGCATCCCAATTGCTAATATAAGAGTAGGGGAATAGTGTGAAAATGACTCAAAAAGGGAACACCAGTGAGATGTTTGAGCTTGGCAGATGTGAGGCAAGCTTTCTATTAAATTAGAGGTATAACGGACAATGCAATGATGCCACATATTAGGCATCTTGCAATCTCATCCATCTCTTTATGAGAAGTCTTTGCTTATAAGTTGAAAAAATTCATGAAACTAGGCTCAACTTTCCTGGATACACGTTTACCTGCCTAATTTACTTTTATTCTATCTTTAATTGTTATGTATTTCTTGACCATTTAAATATCTTGAGTGGTTCATGATCCAAATGTCCGTTTGTATTCTTGATTGATCTTATATCAGAAGCATAACGGACAATGCAATTATGCCACATATTCAGGAATCTTTGGAATTCATGGAAGTTCATAACGTGAACATTATTGAAATGATCAGTGCTATTTTTAGTGATTTTATGTTATATTAGTGGGAGATGCACAAACGATGCTGTGGGTTTCATCATGGTATTGTTGTTAATCAAGAGATGCAGTTGTTTCAGTATAATCATTTATATATTGAAGAGTGAAATTTTGACTTGCTTTGATTGGGCGAATTATCATTTCCAAGGGAATGCATTACGATCCTTTCATTGGGTTTTGAATGAAAAGGATATAAAGGAACGTGAAGTTTTGGATACAGGATAGAGAAAAGAACTCCTTATGTTATCCATTCAGTAAATAGAACAGGATTCTTTTTTATCCATCCTTTTACATCCGTGTGTTTGGCCTTCCTCTTAGTCTCCACAGTTTTATTTTTTGATATTAATATTATTTTGCTTGGGGTTATTGTTCATCTCATTCTCCTGCATTTTTTGTACCTGGCGTACCTTAATTTAAGACCACTTTTAAGTTCATTAATCTGGTTATCCTTTATTTTACAGGGTCAATACAAATCGACTTTGGTCTGTCCAGTGTGCAATAAAGTTTCTGTCACGTTTGACCCCTTCATGTATCTCTCATTACCACTCCAGTCAACTACCACCCGTACCATGACAGCAACTCTTTTTACTAGTGATGGAAGTAAGCTGCCATCAACTTTAACTGTCACTGTACCAAAGCAGGGTCGGTGTAGGGATCTAATCCAGGCACTTAACAGCGCTTGTTTGTTGAAGCACAGTGAGAAGCTCTTGTTGGCGGAGGTTTGCAGCATTTAACTTTATGCATAAATGTGTAACATGTGTATATATAAGTATAGAACTTATTCTGTTTCTTACAGAAGCATGTGTACACCAAAGGTTATGTGAAGTTGGGGCATCAATGATGAAATGTTTGGGGCTTCAATTACTGCTTATTTTTGCTTCACAATTTTATTTATTTACATATTAAACTACACGGGCTTATGTATTGAAGTTTTTGTTTTGTTACTTACATCATTCTATAGCTTGGGAGTATTTTAGTTTTGTTTTCCCAATCATTCAACCTTCACATGTTTATGTTTCACAGTTGTGCCCTAGCAGCTTCGGTTACTTAGTTGTCCTTCTTAATGGAATTTTTTTTATGTGCGCGTGAAGATAATGAATACTGACTAGGAATTGTTTCCTATGATAATGTATAAGAGTGCATAATGGGAGGTGCATACTGACATTGCAAATGTCCCCTATGTAGGTGCGAGACCATTTGATTCACAGGTTCCTAGAAGATCCCTTGATATCATTGTCCACAATAAAAGATGATGACCATATTGCTGCCTACAAGATTCCAAAGTTGACTAAGAATACTAAATATCTTCAATTAGTACATCGGAGACAAGAACAGTATGTGCAATTTCATTATGAATTCATGTTCGCAAAGCTTATTAAATAGATGGCTGTTGTTTATTTCTATCATATCTCATTTTCTTGTCAGGTTGCTCCATGTGATTGAGAATCTCTTTCAATAGGATTTGACAAATTTCTGATTGAGAATCTCTTTCAATAGGATTTGACAAATTTAGAAGTTCGTTAAGGAGGCATATGCTTTTTGAACAAAATACCTAGTGCCATTTTTTTCCCCATTAATTGATGGTCAAAGTATCCTTCACTCCTTGATTTGGTTGGCGGTGGTATTGGTTAAATTAGAAATTACAATGTTAACGTAGGCTGGTCTCATGAATTTCTACTACAGATTGGCTCTCAGAAAAAAGTAGTTGTACTTCCTTAAAGTAGGGTACAATCTTAAATGTTAATTTGCAATTTATATCTTTTATACCAGGGTAACTAGTGATGCCCACGCTATGTCAGGATGGAGACCTTTTGGAACTCCTCTTGTGTCGGTCGTCTCATGTGATGATCCGGTGACGAAGGGCTACATTCAAAGAATAATTAAAAGAGTGCTCTCTCCAATGGCGAAGACTGGGACTTTGATGGATACTGATGTATTTGATTCTAGTGTGTCACATGCAGGAGAAGATCTTCATCCTCGTGACTCTTCTATTGAAACATGCACAGTATCCATATCAAGTTTAATGAACAAGGATGATCCAAAGTCCAAAGGAGCGGAACCTTTTAAATTACCTCTTCAGTTGTTGAATAAAGACAATGTTTGCATTGACCTATCAACTGGAGAGGAATCCGTGCAATTACCCCCATCATCATCAGTCCTGGTGTATATTGATTGGTCTCAAAAGCTTATGAAGAAGTTTGATACTTTTTACCTAGAAAACTTGCCTGAAGTTTTTAAATCTGGGCCTGTGATGAAAAAAGCTCGAACTGAGCCACTCTCCTTGTATTCTTGTTTGGAATCCTTTCTTCGGGAAGAACCACTTGTTCCTGAAGATATGTGGTTAGCTTTTTTATCCTCTCTTCTCTACTTCCTGCTGTGATATACTCATATGACTGAAATAATGTGTGTACAGTATTTTACTTACCGTTGAAAATACGATGAGATGTTTCATTTGCTAGGCGCTTAATAATTTAATGACTAGTCAGATTCAAGATGTATGATATGCTATTTGAACTTTTGGGATGATATTTTGTGCCTCATGTATGTGAATGAAATTGACTGTTCTTTCAGTTCTTATAGAAACTCTGAAGTGCTCTTCACGATTTCATGAAATTGTTTAGTTTTGGCACTTTCCTACTAGAAAATTTAAACAGAACTGCTTGATTCACAGTTCACTTTGATGATTGATAGGTTAATTTAGCTTTTTGGATTTTCAATACTGAAGAGTTTTGTAAATATTATTTTTGTTTATCAATACCGAAGCTCCTGTGTAATCTCCCTAGCCCCCAGGTTCTTTTTGGTGCAATATGATAGTTTCTTATCAAAAGAATAAACTAAAATCAAATGATGATTTTACCATGTATTAGCATTTTATTTTTTGGAAACCTTTCCAATAGGAATGCTAGTGCTAATACTATGTAACTTAAATTTTAGCCATTTTAGCTGGATACGTATTGAACCCTGTCAACACATCCTAGTCTGCCGCTTGTATTATGAGGGACCGTGTAGAGAAATAGTAACAAATTCATGAACTGCTCTGTGATTGGAGTATATATCTTATGTGGTTTATTATTAATGTGTATTAATGAAGGTTCTGCCCTCAATGCAAAGAGCGACGACAAGCCAGTAAAAAGCTTGACCTTTGGCGGCTTCCAGAGGTGTTAGTCATCCATCTTAAAAGATTCTCATACAGCAGGTCGATGAAGCATAAACTAGAAACATTTGTTAACTTTCCGATTCACGACTTTGACTTGACGAATTACGTAGCTAATAAAAATAACTCCCAACGTCAACTGTATGAACTCTATGCTTTAACCAACCATTATGGTGGCATGGGTAGTGGTCACTACACTGCACATATAAAGGTCAGTGGAAATTAGCCAGTTTCTCCTTATAGATTTATAGACACGTATGTTTATTTGTTTATTTTTCAACTTTTGGAGGCCATCCTGATGTGGTTAGGAGAACAACATACCCTTTGATTGATTCTTGGTGCTTAATTTTGCATATTATTTTGTTAACGATATTGCCCTTCCATAAATTGTACATCATATTTGAAGTTTGTCTTGTACTTGAGCTTTCGGGAGCATTCTTGCCTTTTCTCCCTCACTACTGATATATATCATCCTTGCTTCTTACATATTCAATCCTTATTTTGTTCTTTTTTTTCTTTGTCTAGCTTATCGACGAAAACAGGTGGTACAATTTTGATGATAGTCATATATCACTTATAAATGAAGAAGAAGTGAAATCAGCCGCTGCTTATGTCCTCTTTTATCGGCGGGTGAGGACGGAAGATGTATCAGTCAGTAATGGATTACAATGATGTGCCTCAACTCAGAAGTAGATGCTATTGATCTCTGTGCTTATTTTCCTTAAAGAAATGGGATTGCAGGTATGTGTACATCGAAACTTTATTGCATATGTACTCCCCACCCTTGTTCTGGTTTCAATAATTCCAGAAAAGGGTGAAAGTTACAAAAACTATCCACTATAAGTGGCTGTTTAGCATGTGAACCTCAACTTGTGAAGTAATGCCACCCACATGGGGTATTTATTACCCCAATATTTTCATTAAATAAGCATATAAACAGAAATCTTGAAGACTTTTAATCTGAAATCCAATGCTGATAGTGTTTAGGAAGCTTTTATAACAGCGCATGTATGTGTTTTCTTTTCATCTTTATGTCTACTGAATGACTGGAGTATACATAGTTGTACTTGTATCCCTTGAGACATTGAACTGAATTTTGCTTCCTTCCATTGAGTAGAATCCTTACGTTTGGTGAATTTCCGATCCTCATTCTTTTTAAGAGATTGAGAACATATTTTGGATGACTTTTGAAAGTAGTAATTTAAAATGAAATATTATTTTATAACATTTTTGGAAGAAGTAGCGGTGTTATCTAAGGTTGTATTAGGATGAGTTTGATTGATGTCTTTTGGAATGACAAAAAGTACATTTAACTGATTAAAAGCACTTTTCAAAGTTTCTATAGTTTCAATTACCTTAGGGCTTATAAAAAATGATCTTGAAAATCTTTAAAACACTTAAAAGTATTTTAAAGTGCTTTTAAAGAAAATACTCGAAGTGTTTCACCAAAAAGATACTATTTTAAAAAGTCATCTCAACTTCACTCTTAAGTATTCAAAATCACTTTTTAACTGCAAAATCAAATACTTTAGAAGTTTTGAAAGATTCTTTTAATCGGCTAAAAGTATTTTTTACCATAAATCTCAAAAGTTGTACTAATTCTTACTTTCTGGATAGCCTGTCTTGTGTTTAGTGGAGAGTCTCATGGGCATCCCCAATATCTGGTAAAACCCACAGAGGGACTTGAGGCTTGTTTGAATATATATTTTCTTTTTTTCTAGTACAACAAATAGGAATGAGATGATTTGAACTCATGATCTGTTGGTCAGAAACAGATGTCAATTACTAATTACGAACCAAACTCATATTGACAATGCTGTTTGAACTTAGTCCGTAGGCAAACATGGGGATGCAACCAATATGCAAAGATTACATAGGCTTAGATTGCTTGTTATTTTCTAGAAAAATTGTGTAATAGTCAATTCAGCTGAGTCTGAAATATAATCATCTTTTGACATTTTCATGTTTAGACTCTTTTCCTTGTGGGCTTGATTGTTATATATTCTTCTCTCAAATTTGCCCTCACTGTGTAAATGGAATATGTTTATTTGAATTTCAAGATCTTTTAGCTGAATTTTTGGTAGTATTTAATCCTCACATTTATGATTGTGTCATACTGTTTTTTGCCTTTCTTTATTTCAAAATGAGCATATTATTACTTTGAATTTAAAATTATTGTTTCTTTTAATTTAGACTTCCATTTGGAGATAACAATGGTTTGTTCATAACAGCTTTTTTTTTTGCCATTGCCAATTAGCTAATGCTGCGCTTAAATTTTTGTTCACAGCATCATCATATGTACTTTTTCTCTAAATATTGGTCTATTAATTGCAAGGTTTATAATTCGCGTATATGAAATATATAAATTTTTTGTGGGCAAATTTATTTATTATTTTTTTAGAAACTTTTGTGGGCAAATTAAACTAGTAGAAATATGTTGAATTATTATAAAGATTTAACATCATCATTTACTATCTTAAATTGAACGTATTAAAGAACTCACTAGGTATTGCATCATTCATACAAAACCGAGGCACAAAACATTTGTAGGTTTTGTAGAACTGGTAGGCTTAGAAAATGTCTTAAACAATTTCAAATTAGTCGCGTTAAATTAAAGTTTTAACCAAGAGAAAAATTTATAGTACTGATGGATTTGTTCATGTTATAAAAAAATACTTACATATTTTTTGTCAATACGAGTATAGTTCAATAGTATTTGATATGTACTCCTTCCCTTGAGGTTCGAGGTTCAATCTCCTATATCTCTGTACTAAAAAACACTCCTACGAGGTTAAGCACAGGACTTGCAAAAAAACTTGGGAAATCCTTAGGAATGGCTACTCACAGGTTGGCCAAAGTTTTTCTAAATTGCATGACATGGTCAAAGTTGGTTTCCTAGATTTTAGGAGAGGTGTATAATTCTTTATTTATCCCTCTACACATTTCATACCCATATTGTCCTTGCAGTCTTTCTCCATTTTACCCATTCACATTTTATGCCTCTTACATTCCCTTAAATCTCTCATAAACTAGCAATGTTATCGAGTTAATATTGAAACCACCTTAACTACAAAATCTACATAATTCCTAAAATCTTTCCACAAAATTTAAACCAGAAAATCTACCTATATCATACTTAATATTGAAACCACCTTTAACTACAAAATCTATATAATTCCAAAAATCTTTCCACAAAATTTAAACCACCAAATCTACATATATGATTCAAACAAGTTTAAAATGTGTTTAATTTTTTTAAACAAACCTAACTAATTGGTTTGAACATTCTACTATAATCAACAACCTTAAATACAGTGTTTCTTTAATATTCTTACATTTTATTAATCCCCACCCATTTTATTTTTACATTTTTTCAAGAATTAAATCAATCAACGCGGGAACATTATGCGATCATTGTTAGCCACGATTTTAGTTGGGAGGAGCACAACAATTATCAAGGGTTCATTACCAGACACGTTTCAATTCCATTCGATTTCACCCTACAACTCTGTGAATGTATCTCTAGAGATCTTTATTTTCTAGAAGGAAAAAAAATTACAAGTTTAAAGAATGCTTTTAGTAAGCATAAAACAAAATGCATTTCGAAATTTCGGTCTCATGCTCAAAACAAGGTTTGAATCACAGACTTGGATTTAATCAAACAATTCAATTCTGGGTATTTACAGAAACAACTTCAACCCCACCGCT